CAACCTGCTATTAGACAACTGTTGTAAAATTGGAGTCAGACCGGGGCTTATTGGCTGGTTGGGGTCATATCTGAGTAAGAGGATGCAAGTGACAAGATTTGGTAACGAACTTTCTACAAGCTGCATGATTAATGGGGGAGTTCCCCAAGGTAGTCGTATTGGTCCAATCGCGTTCGTCGTTCACATTAACGGACTGAAGGCAGTGATAAAAGATACCGAGAGCAGTTTGACTAATTCAAGCAATGATGATAATGATGATGGTGATGATGACCTCACTCTTTTCATGGATGATACAACACTGTCGGAGGTTATTAACGTCCGTGATCATGTCTCGGGTACGCAAGTTGGAAGTATGAACAATAATATTATGAAAGTTATGGATTTTGCCACGTCTCAAAAAATGGAGTTGAACCTGAAAAAATGTAAGGAAATGCAGTTAGACTTCCGTCAGAACAAAACAGTTATTCCACCACTAACATTCAATGATACAACGTTGGAAAGGGGTTCCACTTTCAAACTATTGGGCTTATGGATTGACGATAATTTAAAGTGGCAAACTAATACTGATTATATAATAGGGAAAGCAGTTAAGCGACTCTTTTTATTAAAAACTTTAAAGAAATACGGTGCTGACAAGATTGATATGAAACGGTTTTACATCTCTGCCATCAGGCCGACACTTGAATATGGAGCGCAAGTCTGGCATGGGGGCCTTACTAAAGCACAGAGCAGCAGTATTGAGAAAGTACAAAGAAGGGCTTTGAGAACAATTTATTCCGAAAAAGATTCCGAAAAGTTATTGTTGAAAGCTGGAATGCATACGCTTGAACAACGTCGCAATACTATGTGCATTGATCTTATCAGTAAAATGTCTGACCCGCAACACAAACTGCACCATCTTCTTCCTAATAAACTTTGCAAGGTACGGCAAAGGGGTACACGTCAGAATGGTCAATTGTTTTACAATTACCACTACAGAACAGAACGTTTTCGGAACAGTCCAATCGTTTCGTCAATTGAACTCTATAATAACTCTATTTTATAATATAATATATAATATAACTTTATATATTTTTATCGAAACATTTTTAACACGTAGTGATAGTTTTTGGATCAGTCCATTTGTTTCGCCAATTGAACCTTTGTTAATAACTCTCTTTTTTTTAATATAACTATCTCTATTGAAACTTTTATAATACCTAATTTAGTTAGTTCAGTAATTAATGTATATCTTCTATATATATGTAATGCGCGTTCTAATTTAGTTAATTACTGTAGCTATTCAATGTGTAATCTTTCTATAATAATAATAATAATATAAAATATAAAATACCTTAACTGTCTTGAAATATTTTGTCGGGTGGTACATTTATATTATATAACAAAATATAAAAAAATTAACAAGGCTCTTAAAATACAGTTGGACGGTGATGAGAATCCAGCAAGTTATTTTATGTGGCCTAAGGCACCTCTGATGCTTGACACTTACACATTTTAATTTTACAGAATATTTTCAGCTATTGTCTTCTCAGTATATTCTCCAATGTCATAGTCATCTGGTATAGGTACTATATCACAATAGTGCCACCACAACTTGTCAGCCTCAACTGCCTTATTCAACCATGATTTATTTGTTTTAATCTTTTGGTGGTAGCAACCATTGGCCACTAAACCTTCCTCACTGACCTCACCTATGGTAAACCTTCCTCGCGGACAATGCCCGCATGCCCGCAGCTTTTTTGCAACTCTGCCTACATCATTAAGCATACTATTTTTTTAAACAAATCCGTGAATAATAACAAAGATACACAACATTATATATGTATTATATATGTAGTTGAGTAAATGACGTCACATGGTTTCAAACAAAATGAAATACCTGAAGAACTAACCATGGAAACCAATTTTTTCAAAAGACGTTACTTTACAGTTTTAGGAGTTTTTTCGTTTGAGACAATAAAAATTTTAATGCAGTGCCACTTTAAAGAATTATTATGGCTTGTATGTTGTTACTGAAAACCCTGTAATTCCTGTTCCTGTTCTTCCTAGGTTTCCAAGCACTCGATTTCACCGCGGGGTGCGACAATTCGACAGTACATTTCGACTACTTATACAGCTATTTCAACTTAATGTAGTTTAATGTTGTCCCCGAGCAAAGCGGAAAGTCGAATACGAAAGGCTGCTGGGAATCCTTCGCAGTGTTTCAATTCTGTTGCAGAACATAGGCGTCGAAAGATCGATAAGTGGGGGGGACCATATTCATATATCAAAAGAAATTAATAATGCAGAACACGAATATATGAATATGATCCCCCCCCCCCCACTTATCGATCTTTCGACGCCTATGTTGCAGAATCATCCTCAGAGATACGAAAAACCAGTTTCATATTATTCTAAAGAAACTAGTTTTTCGTATCTCTGAGGTTCCAGCAGTGCATTTTTTAAGGATTCTTCAGTGGTGGTGCAAAACTGCCAAAGGGCCCATTTTCCTTGCCTTCTCCCCAGCATAGTATGCGATCGCGATTTTTCCGTTGACAGTCCGACTCCTCATTGATAGTCGGACACATCATTGACCCGCGCCCTTAAACAAAACATTCAGCGGATACTCTTCTTATTAGATGCGCTTCCCAGCGTGTTTTGCGCGCGCAATTGGTCACTTCTAAACATTGTATTGCTTGGTTGAGATGCCAAAATGTGAGCAGGACACATTGTGGCTTCATATCTTGTGTTGTGATGACATGTGACATATTTTATTAAGTTATATTTTTCGCCATTCCCACTTGCTTTTCTTTGCTTTTGTAACTGTTTCTAAGTTTCATAATTCCGTGTTTTTAATTCCATAATTCTGAACAAACATTGCAATATCTTCCGGAGCGATTCCAGAATACCCGTCCATTTTACTTATATATGTGCCTTTCAAACATCATGGATAGGATCTATTAATACCTCTATATTTATTCTCAATAGATTAATAATAAATAGATTGATAGATTAAAATCCCATGGTGGTAAAGGTAGCTATTTTAGTGGATACTCGGATACGCAGCAAGAGAACAAACGTGGCAGTTATTCATTATTATTTTTCACCCTGCTCGGTTACCTTTGTTCTTGTCGGGAAATATATTCAACATTCCCCTCTAATCAATTTCCGTTTAATAATCCCCTCTAATATTCACCTGCAATTAATAATCCCCTCTAATATTCACCTGCAATGTCTTTGCAGCACAAAAAAGAGAAAAAACAACATCGCGAAGGCAATATGGCATTAAGAATTATTTCTTTTCTGACTCATTAACGCGACCTCGCAGTGCATGAAAAATAAGTACGTTATTTTGAGGAACCTCGGGGATATGTGATTTATTCACCTCGGCGCTGCGCGCCTCGGTGAATAACTCACATATCCCCTCGTTGCCTCAAAATAACCTATACATAGATCAAATTGTCAAGCTATAGGTATAGCTCTATATTTTAGTGGACCACTAAATTAATACGCGGATACGTGGATACGCTCATATACGCGGTCCAGTCGTGCAGTTTGTTAGCATTAATATATCAAATTATCGTGCTATAGGTTGCTCTATATTTTAGTGCAGTGGATACGCGGATATGCAGTCAGCTCGTTACTGCGGCTTTGTGATTTATAAAGCGTAGCTTTACGATGTTTTCAGGACTGATTCTGGCGTAATTGAAGAAATCATATGACAATCGTTTTTGGAGACGAAACCATATTTTCTCATGCTAACGTCCGATTTTCGTCATGTGTATGCATGTTTAACTGTGTAATGGTGTAATGTTCCTCACAACCCGAACTTGGTGTTAGATAGATTATGATTAACGTGGCTGGGAGAAAAATAATTGTATATTATAACTGAGCATACTAAGCATTAGTATCAAACATTAAAAGTCTTGCATGATATTTCCTTTATAGTATCAATGCGTAATATTGTCTTAGTAATTAGTTTGTGTATATTGGAACGAGACAATAAGATCTGGATACTACGTATCCAGTGAAATAGTGGCCGGGCTACATGATATGATCAGTACTAATGGACGGGTATTCTGCAATACTTCCTCTCTTCAATTGGGATATATAGTTTTAACTCGCAATAACAGTTCTTGAGTATTTTTGGAACCAGAGAAACAAGTTTGTAGATTTGCTATGGCATCGCGAACCAATACGTCCGACTATCAATGAGGAGTTCAACTTTCTACGGAAAAGACCGTGGAAATTTACATCGCCGAAAGTGTGAGCAGAGTACCGCAGGCACGAGTTAGCTAGGAGGGTTAAAGCTGGGGGCATGCCCCAAGGAAATTTTTTAAATTTGAGTCTCTGAAATAGCATTTCCTGCATTCTGAGAACACATTTTTAAAAAAATCTCAGCTTCTCAAAACAAAGTTTTAATGGTGAAATTTGTAATAAATTACATGCAAACACAACATCAGTTTTACGTATGCTCACCAACAAATTTTGATTTTTAAAGTGGTGGGGCAGAGGAAAGGTGGTGGGGCAGAGGAAAGGGCCTAGTGGGGCAAATGCCCCACCAGTGTATGGTATTAAAAAATGCCTTGGGTTCCAGTTCAGTGGTGGCCTGACAAAAATCTGATGTCTGGTTGCGAGACGCCAACATTAAAACGGGTGTGGGGAGAGAGGGTGGTAAAATGTGTCAAGAAATGGTATAATATACAACCAGAATGCATGCGAAAACTAGATTCTCCCAATGTAGGCTACATTGTCAAAGATTGTAACCCCAATCCTGATCCTAATATTAAAATGCACCAAACCTTGATTGTTAAGAACTTCTGAAATGATATAATAACTTATTTTAAAGATTTTCATTTGCACACTTTGTCTTGGAGTTACTTCAGTTTTATTGATATGCAAATCTCCGGAATTTACGTCACATATGAATAATGCTGATCAAAGAATGTAAGGTACAGTTAAATAACATGAAATAAAAAAGCTAAATGGTGTTTTGCATAGGTATGTAATCCTCCCACAACACCAAACTTCATTTTAATGAATTAAACTCGATAGTGAATACGACATACAAGCTTTTACTTTAAGTCATTATGCATTTGTGACGTAAATTCAGGATATTTGCATACCAACATAAATATCTCAGAAACAAAGTGAGCAAATAAAAATCTTCAAAATAAGTTATTATATCATTTCTGAAGTTCTTAAGAATGAAATGATAAAAAAAATTGAAGTTAGGTGCACTTTAACCCTAAACTAAAGCAAACTTTGAGTTAAAATTTTGACCTATCGTGACAACCTGCCTCTCGTCCATCAGTTTTAGCCATTACCCTCTCTTCTGTGTTCTCGTAGCCTATCAGATTTCAGTTTTTATCAAAACACGTTTGCATACCTGCATATTCGTTTGTTCTCATGCTATGGTGCGGGTTAACTAAGAGATGTAGGACGCAACGTTGTTACGATGAAGGACGCAACATGACGACGACGGCTATTATTAAAATACAATAAAATTCATAACATTGTGGAAAAGAAATTAATAATAAAAATTCCACGCTCTATATACAACGACAAACCATAGATTTTACGTCTTGTATACAACGGCTGCATTTCAAGCCGCGAGAAACGGTACTCAGTTAGTCTCTAACATTCGTAGTCACCAAATGTCATGGGAAGCATAATTTTCGTTGTCACTGGAAGGAATATGTTCGTCATTATCGGGATTTTTATACTCATAGTCACCCGATGGATCATAGATCCATCATGTCGTCATTGAAAGAATCATTTTCGTCGTCATCGTCAGTGGAAGAATGTTCGTCATCGTCGGAATTATTATCTTCGTGGTCACCAGATGGAGCATCTTCGTCGATATCGAAACCATCATTTTCATCGTCAGCGGAAGAATGTTCGTCATCGTCGGGATCATTATCTTCGTGGTCACCCAATAAATCAACGGAAGAATGCTCGTCGTCGTCGGGATCATTATCTTCAAAGTCATCGGATGCGTCACATATGACGATATCAGTATCATCATTTTCATCGTCAGTGGAAGAATGTTCGTCATCGTCGGGATCATTATCTTCAAAGTCATCGGATGCGTCGCATATGACGATATCGGTATCATCATTTTCATCGTCAGAGGAAGAATGTTCGTCATCGTCGGGATCATTATCTTCATAGCCATACATGACGTCTTGGGAAAAATCAGTTTCATCCTCATCTGAAGATTGTTGAAAATTATGTTCGGCGTCACCGGATGTACAATGTTTATCAGGATTAATTCCATCTTTTTTTCTATCACATGGCTTCGACTTCCATTCACATTTTGTTTTCTCATTCATAAAAGGATGACGCAATGCTTCACAAGCATGAGGCCTGTCTTCAATCTTATGCCTGATCAACTTTGAAATAAACTGTCGAGCATCAGGGTCATCAAGTTTCTCCAAGTTTACTGGATTTCCTCTCAAAATATTAGTCATGCGATCATGCACAGAACCAAACGGGTGTTCACCTTTGTTTAAGATGAAGTAAGTTATCATACCAGCAACCTGAACATCTGACTTTTTTTTATATCGACATTTGCCTCCTTTATTTCCGGTTTTGATGACTTCTGAAGACATCCAGCCTTGGGTTCCTTTCGCATCAGTCTGAACTGTCGTTTCATCTTCATTTAGAACACGACTTATTCCAAAGTCTGCCAATCTCATGTGACCTTCGACGTCAACCAGGACATTGGATGGTTTGAGATCTCTATGTAAAATTCCTTGAGCATGAAGAAATTCAAGTCCAGTCAAGATTTCTTTGATCATTCTTCGCCCATGTTCTTGCACATGTTTAGCACTTTGAAATAGGACGTGATCAGCCAATGTTTCTTCACAGAGGTCAACAATAAGATACATGAAGATGTTGTCTCTGACGAAATGTCGGTAGCTAACTATAAATGGTGACCTTTGTGTGTTAATGAGAGTCAGGATTGCTTTCTCATTTTCAGCTGCAACTTTACATGTCTGTATTAACATTCTCTTTACAGCCACTTCACTGCCATCGTCCATGATAGCAACATATACGCACGTCCCCATAGAACCAGTCCCGAGTAAAAAAGATTCAGTCATGGCGAAAGACTTTACTGGTGGTCCAACCTTAAACAAGAAAAAACATTTGTTTCAAATTTTCCAAAGCGCTTATCTCGGGTAAGAACGTCCCATTGAAGTGCTTTACGTATTAAAATGGTTTCATACGAATTAGCTACTACATTTCTGTATAATTTTATACAGAAAAGTAGACTTTCTACGATGTTGTATTCCTTTCCATTAATTGTGGTAATATATGAGGTAAGTAGATTGTCAATAACTTAACAGGTGAAGCCGTGTTGTTCTGCCGTTTGAGAGTGTAAACTTCCTATATTTCTTTTTCATTTCATTATATGTTGCAATTGGATGGATGGATAAAACTTTATTTGACTACGCTGGCCATTTCAACCGAAACTGCTTTCCAAGAGGGGCGTAGATAATTTATTAAATGTTACAAAATATATAAAATACAAAATCGTTAACAATATTACGAAATACGAAAACATAAAATACACATTACAAAACAAATGGTACAATAGTCAAATAGCTAATTCGCCAGACTAACAGATGAAAAATTGCCATTGAAAGAATTTATAATATAGCATGCTATATAACATGCTATATACAGCTATATATAACATGCTATAACATGCTATATTGTATAATATATATATATAACATGCTACCGACCCGAACAAACGTATATTTTAAGTTCCGTCTCTCTCGTTTATATATTTTTTAAAATGTCGTTGGATGGGAATAATAATGCCTCATCTCTGAGAGATCTTTTTGTTCCAAGCAAGGGTACTTTAAAATCGTTTGACAGTTTTGACAAACTTAAGCAGTTCTGCGACAGTCGTTTGAAGATCGACTCAAAATGGCTGTCGCCTGGTGGCGGCTGTAAATCGATTGATAACGAAGATGTCGTTATCAGATGGTATTCAACGAACAAGTCACATGTAATAAAAGGACCAAAGGGAGAACCGCTTCGAAATGAATTCAAGTTGATCGCTAAACCTGTCAATGAATGTTGGACCACTTTCTGACGAGTCTACTTCTAATAGCGTTGGCTTCGATACCGTTCAAGATCATGCTGGCTCAAACGGCAAGATTCTATAAACCACGATCCATATTAACATACCACTCAGTGCAATTAGCACTGATGCAGTATAGTAGATGTAGAATAAAAGCGCCTGAACCCAATTATATATTTGAGGCCTCTGAGATAAGTCCATTGTTAGCATAATATGAAATAATCCTACCGGCCTACATTCATCTGGCTGTGTCATTTCATTTCAGAGTATAATTATATTTTTCGATAATGCTCACAATTTCTTTCTTTATCATATTAATTTAGTTTTGCAGTTCTGAATGAGCTCATTACAATGAATGGTGTCATTTGAATCTGACATATTAAATCTATATATGTTTCAGAAGAATTAAAATGTATAAGTATATGCCAGATCCTACTGGGTGGAAATTGAAACTGAAAAAGGAAAAAAATATAATCAATTTATAGACACCCGAAAGGTAATGTTGAACAGTTCACTGTAAAACTGGATGAGATGCTCAAATACTTAAATGAATGTAAATATCAAGTTTACCTATTAGGTGATATAAATATTGATTTTTTTCAATTTACTAAACACCATCCTACACTACAGAAGCATATCTCGATATGCTGTATTGTTGTTAAGATAACTGTATTTTGTAGTTAATTCGTAGTTGACATTTTATGGTTGACATTTCGAAACAGTAAACTTGGGCAACCTATGTCCAATGAGGGGTTGCTAGGCAACGGGTTTTAAGGACGTTCGAAAAACGTTGTTCGTGAGATTTTATGAGGGAAATATTACTTTTATTATTGTTCTGTTCGTTTATTTTTGTTAAATTAAAGTTTATAAAAAGAGTTTCGAGTCTTGAGAACATATTCTTGGCGATCCTGCCAGGACATTGGAGTTTTATAATGATATAATCGTGATCTTTCGTTCGTAGTATTGGAAAAATATTGACAGGCGGCATTTGCAAGAAGTATTCGTATCGTTGTTGGATTTAATTCCAAAAGTGTGAGGAATTGTCGATGGTTGGGACGTAAGAGAATCTTGAATTGTTGTATACGGTTGCGTGTGGGTTTTAATTCGTGATAAATATCGTAAAAGATCGAAATTGCGAGTATAAATTTATGCGTGTTTTGAAAATTTGAAATATCGAATAAATTAACGAATATCGAATAAATTAACGAATATGGAATAAACTAACGAATTGAATTGCTAGTGCGGGTTCTTTATTAATGGAAGCCGAATATTGTTAGTTATCGGATTTTATACAAACGTTCAGCGTGCGGGAACTTGTGTTCGCTAGTTTTTTACTGGAATTGTTTATCTATATTTGGACGGTAGTGAAGTGTTGTTTACCCTTTTTGTACATTTTGAGCTTGGAGAAAAAATATCTAGTATTAATTGGCATAATTTGTTGGTATCTGAAACTTAAGTGTTACTATCATGTCGGACACAGAACTGGGTCCTAGTGAAATACCAGAGGAGCCTAAAGCGGATGAGGAAGTTAAACAAAAGCTAGTTCTAATCGAGTTAAACCGACGAAAACGAGCCAGTAAACGTAGCACAACGAAAGCAAGGCATCATCTTGAGAAGTTAATCGTTGAAAAGGCGGAGGTTGATATACAGGAACTGGAACATCGTGTAGAGACACTGTGGCAAATACTGAAAGATACACAAGTTATATTTCATGGAACAGAAAGATTTCGAAAGTCATAAGCTTGTGATGCAAGAGTCGAATGAGTTAGAGGGGGATTGTCAGAAGGTCATTGAAAAGACGCAGGCTGTTATTGTTAAATGTGCATCAGAAAGCTGTGTGCTGAGTCCACCCATACAGAAAACTGCCCCAAACACAGGGGGTGAAGCAGAAACCGAAGTCACAGATAATCAAGGGGTTTCCACTTCCGTAACTGGGAATGAAGATGAACTCGACATAGCTGATGACGTCACAAACCAGGGGTCCCAGGCAGTGGCTCCTGCAACATTAGGGGGTAATGATCACCTACAACAACCGGTTACCGAGAACAGTAGTTCCACCTCAACGGGGTACCCTAGTCCGCAGCATGATGTTACAACGACAAGTAGTGGACATGGAGAAACTGTTATTAACCGTCGTCTGAAACCATTGAGGGTGCCAACCTTTGACGGAGACAAGAAAAAGTTTGAAGAGTTTTGGGGACTGTTCGTAAGCCTAGTAGATATGTCGAACGAACCAACTAGCTTAAAGATGGCAAGACTCCGCCAAAGCTTAACTGGAATAGCCCTGGACTCAATCCGTGGACTTGGTGTGTCAGGGCCTGAGTATAAGGAGGCCAAGGAGATTTTAAATACAAAATTCGGAGGTCAGAGAAGGCAGCTTCGTGCCTACCTGGATGATTTAGAAAGAATGCACCCCTTACGAGCAGCTGATGTTCAAGGTTTCGAAAGGTTCGCAGATCTAGTAAGAGTGACGGTTGTTAAGTTGCAGGCAGAAGGGAAAGTAGGAGAACTTGGAGATGGAACACTGTACAGTTTGTTGGTCAAGAAGTTGACAGGACACCAGTTAGAAATTTACACACGATGGATGAATGAGCACAGTAAAGACAGATCGGTTTTAAGTCTACGAGACTGGTTAAAGGAGGAAGTCTCAATTAGAGTTGAAGCAATTGAGATGGCCCATGGGATAGAATCCGAAGATTCTGCGCGATATAATCGAAAGCAATATCCAACGAAAGGTGGAAGGAGCAATCCAAGTTCCTTTTTCATGGCTTCGAACAATCAACGAAATTCAGCGTTTAACAAAGACAAAAGCCCAAAACAAAAGCCTCCTTGTGCCTTCTGTAACGGGCCGTATCATGGTATTTGGGCTTGTCGACAGTTTGAACAAAGATCGGTGGAACAACGATGGAACTTTGCCAAAGAGAAACAGCTGTGTTTTCGCTGTTTGAGTAAGGATCATCATAGAATCTTGTGGCGAGATTACGAGAGCGACCGGGAGCCTGATGAGTATGAATTTACACGAGTCGTATTTGGGAAAAATTTGGCGTCTATGGAAGCGCAATATGTCGCCCAAGAAAATGCTCATCGTTTTCAAGATCGTTATCCACTAGCAGCTGAAACAGTTCTGAAGTCTACATACATGGACGATAGTATCAATAGCGTCGAGGACGAAGCCAAAGCCGAGACTATTCAAAAGGAACTGCAAGAGCTATGGAAGAATGCTGGTATGGAAGCCAGGAAATGGGTCTCTAATTCGAAGCAAGTTCTGGCAGCTATTCCAGAAGAGCATCGGGCATCTGAACTGGTGATTCGAGACGCAGAACAACCAGTGACTAAAACGTTAGGTATTTCGTGGTTCAGCGAAGAAGACACCCTTTCCGTTCCAGCACCACCAATGACTGCATTCGTGTCGGTAACAAAACGTAACATCCTAAAGAAGATAGCTACAATCTTTGACCCTCTCGGTCTGATTTCGCCGGCGATCATAAAAGGAAAGATGTTGCTTCAATCGTTGTGGAGCCGAGGGTATGATTGGGATGATGAAATACATGACGACATAGCAAACCAAATTCAGTCTTGGCTTAATCAGTTATCCGTTTTAGCAGAAGTGAAGATTCCCCGTTGTATTAGACTTGCATTAACAATTATATCCTTCAAGTTGATCACCTTCGTTGACGCCTCAACAAGTGCATTTGGTGCTGCAGTGTATGCCCGGTTCGAGTATGAGCAATCCTATCCTCCTACATGTCGTCTATTGGCATCAAAGAGCAAAGTTGCTCCCTTGGTACCAGTCACCGTACCGCGTCTGGAGTTAATGGCCGCAATAACAGGTCTACGATTGACACAAACAGTTATTGGAGTCTTGGAAATCCCTATGAGCACCGTAACATTCTATTCGGACAGTCTCGATGTGCTTTGGTGGATACGAGGTCATGGAAAGGACTTTCGTGCGTTCGTGGCTAATAGAGTCGGTGAAATACAGATGTTTAGTGATCCTCAACAATGGCAACACGTGTCTACGGAGCAGAATCCTGCAGATCTTATATCACGTGGTATAAACGCTGAAGACCTCAAAGAGAATTCATTATGGTGGAATGGTCCTGACTGGGTATTGAAGGATGAAGACAAGTGGCCAAGAGTTGTTGACAAAAGCCCCCCAACCGAAATGAAAGAAAGCAGGAAGCCTACTGTCTTAGTTAGTCATGGAAGTCCAGTACCACAAAATCCCGCAACGAACGCGACAACAGACGAATGGAGATTAAGCCCCAATCGGTACTCATCGTGGATGCGTCTGGTTTGCATTTATGCACGAGTCGTCCGAGTTCTGTGCAACATGCAGAAGAAAACAAATCGGGTATTTGGAAAAGCGCTACAGCCAGAAGAAATTCAGGACGCAGAAGAAGATATCATTCGCAACGTACAATTAGAAATCTTTTCCGAAGAGTACCAAGCCCTAAAGAGCAACAAAACAATCTCACCCAAGAGTCCTTTGATTAAGCTATCACCTCGAATTGATGAGAATGGAATCATTCGTATGGATGGCAGACTAACGTATGCAGATTACCTTCCGTATGACGTAAAGCACCCCATAATCCTACCCCGAGGTCCCCACGTAACCAAACTAATTGTTAAACATTACCATGAAAGAGCAAATCACACAGGGGGTGTGAATTTCATTTTGGCTCAACTGTCACAAAGATTCTGGATAATAGCAGCACGGGAAGAGATTCGAAGCTGGGAGAGCGAATGTAACGAGTGCAAAAAGAGGAAGATGAAGCTTGCGACACAAATAATGGCTCCACTTCCAAAAGTTCGTCTTAGATTTACTTTTCGTCCATTCGACCAGAGCGCTGTGGACTACGCAGGGCCTTTTATCACGGTGCAAGGCCGGGGGAGACAGCGTCAAAAGCGATGGTTATGTTTATTCACGTGTCTTGCGACAAGAGCTATCCATTTGGAAATGGCCTGGGCACTGGACACGGAGAGTTTTCTAAATGCTTTCACTCGATTCACTAGCCGACGAGGGGTACCGTCCGAAGTTACAAGTGATAATGGAACTAATTTCGTGGGAGCCGTAAATGAATTGAGAGATTTGGTGGGAAAATTAGACCCAAACCGTATTCAGCAGAAGACAAACCACCTCTTCAACAAAGTAAAGTGGCATTTTAACCCTCCAGCCGCTCCGCATTTCGGAGGAGTACATGAAGCGATGATCAAGTCGGCGAAACGTGCTATCTATTCGGTCCTAGGAAACAGTGACATTCGAGACGAAGAATTGATCACCGCATTTACTGCTGCCGAAAGTCTGGTCAACTCCCGTCCCTTAACCTATCAGACGACAGACCCTAAAGATGTTACACCGTTAACACCAAACCATTTCCTACACGGGCAAGTGGGTGGAGAAGTGGCTCCCGAATCGGTTGACTACACCAATTTTAACTTACGGAATCGGTGGCGAAGAGTGCAACAACTACTCAATCAGGTGTGGACGAGATGGTTGAAAGAATACCTTCCCACATTAAACAAGCGTCCGAAGTGGACGGAAATAGTGAACGACATGAAAACAGGCGACGTTGTTCTTGCGTTAGATCACAACCTACCAAGAGGTCGATGGCCTCTGGGACGGATCATCGAGACGTATCCTGGAAAAGACGGTCACACGCGAGTGGCAAAAGTTCAGTGCGGAGACAGAACCTTAGTTCGACCAATACACAAGTTAGTACCGCTGTTTCAAGAAAACTGATGGAACAGTGTTAGTTGAACAGTTAGTTTAGATACGCACTCTACGCAGTGCGGGGAGGGGGAATGTTGTTAAGATAACTGTATTTTGTAGTTAATTCGTAGTTGACATTTTATGGTTGACATTTCGAAAACAGTAAACTTGGGCAACCTATGTCCAATGAGGGGTTGCTAGGCAACGGGTTTTAAGGTCGTTCGAAAAACGTTGTTCGTGAGATTTTATGAGGGAAATATTACTTTTATTATTGTTCTTTTCGTTTATTTTTGTTAAATTAAAGTTTGTAAAAAGAGTTTCGAGTCTTGAGAACAGAAACGTTTAAAATTTATAAAATACAGAGCAACTTTAAAAGCTTGCAGCCATGACGGCGCTTACATCATTGTTCTAAGAATACCCAACTTTTACCACCACCATCAACCGCGTTACGCCCACAGTTATGCGTGGATATCAACCTGACTTACGAGAGTGTGTTACAAGGAGTGCTAAATCTCAAACCCGGCAAGGCATGCGGTCCAGATAAGGTTTCACCCAAGTTACTCAAGAACTCGGGCATTGATTCCATCTCTACTTTCCCTCTACACTTCAAGTGCAATAAGTAACAGCGTACCCGACCAGTGGAAAAATGCCATTGTTTCGTCACTCTACAAGAAGGACGATGAAACAGAGAAGAGTAACTACAGACCTATATCCTTGCTCTGTGTGCCCGGCAAACTCATGGAGACGTGTGTGTCCCAAACCATCACCACCCACCTCGCAAATCATGAGCTCAGCCACACTCATCAATGGGCATACAAGAAAGGTCATTCGACAGAGTTACTCTTGGTGAAAATGACCGAAGATTGGAGACGGGCATTAGACGATAAATTAGTGGTTGGTGTTGTCTTCGTGGACTTTCGAAAGGCTTTCGAATCGATCTCTCACTTAATCTTGCTGAGGAAACTCCAAGAACTAGGTGTATCGGGAAATCTCTGATCGTCGATAAAGAACTATCTGTCGAATCGCCATCAAGCGACTGTGATCAATGGTCATGTATCGTAGTCAATGCCTGTTAAGTTTGGTGTACCCCAAGGATCTGTGCTAGGTCCGATTCTCTTCTCGTTATTTTGTAATGATTTACCAGATATCGATGACTTGAAAGAAGGAGAAATTTATATGTACGGGGACGATACTACACTTTATGTCATTGCGCCAAAACACGATTTGGTGGCAATTATTCTGAACAGGATCTTAGGCAAACTTTACAAATGGTGCTGCGAAATTCGATTGACGCCGCATCCTGACAAAACGGAGTTCATGCTGATGAGTCGAAGGACGTTTATCGGTCCACTTCAACGCATCAAATTATAGGAGAAAGCCAGATAAAACAAGTCGTGTCGAGCAGATGTTTGGGGTTGCAAATTTGTAATCCGGGCTGGAGCAGTCATGTCTCGGATTTAATTCTGTCATTTAGTCAAAAACTCAATCTACTGAAATCATTGTACTTCTTGCCAATTAATGCGAAGCTAGATTTTTACTTCAAAGTTGTGTTAATACCTTCAATCACGTACGGAATTTTGAAATGGGGTTCATGTGGAAAGACCTTGTTCGACGAGTTGGAACGAATACATGTCCGGTCAGCGAATGTTATCTTTGGCCTGGATTGGTACACCTCAGGAAAAGATGTTCTTGCAAAAGTGAAGTGGTGTACGCTGAACAATATGTTTAAACAATAACTTTTATACTTAGCTTATAAAAACTATAATATAGTACAATCTGGTTCCTGCAACGTTGCAGTATCTATTCATAAAAACTGGCCATCGCTATGAAATTAGAAATATAATGACTTATGTACTACCGAAACCTAACACTGACTATCTAAAAAGTCCATATCTTACCAGGCTGTCACTCTCTGGAACTCCCTAGATAAAGAACTTAAATCAAGTGAATCTCTCGCTAAATTCGAAAAGTCTGTCAAGGCGTTGCAATTATAGACAGTAATAATTAGTATATGACTAGCTAATTTATTGCTAAATTAATCCAATTCTGCCTTAATATAGTCTTATATCTTACATCAAAGCTGGTTAATCTTTTTAAGAGCACTTCTACTTGCATGTCTAAGGTATTTCGTGGTTATTTCCTAAACAGTTTATGTTTTGGTATTACTGACTGAAAATTATAGATGGTCATGCATATATAATATATATAATAATTGCGCTACAATATGACGCCATAGGTTTAAGTAGTTAATATGTATGGATTGTGTAAAATAGTATCTCAGTTATGTGACATGTAATTTGTTGTTCTGTTAGATCACTTAGAGCATGGATAATAAAATAAATGGATAGGAAACTAGCTGACGTGACCTAATGTTTTCAATGGGCTGATGGCGTGGTTGGATGTCCCAACCTAGTTGCAAACCAAATTCTCAAAAACGGCATGTTTAGCAATAATACAGCAAACATTTTAGTCAAAGAGCAAATAAATATAACCACGCCATTCTACGATGAAAACTCTAAGTATTTCCAGTCAATTTTAGCAAATATTTCAAGCACTAAACAGTGAAAAATACATCGCAAATTTCGTTAAGATTTGTGACGCCAATTTCGTAGCTATAAATGTAAAAAAATTCAAAACAAAGACGAAAAACATTTACCTTGAATACTTTGTCGTGACTTAGGCATGTTTTTAAAACAATTAGACCAGTTTATGCTTCAATATCACCCTTTTAATTAAAGTGGAAAACATAGCAAAACAACAAAAATGCCGAGAACTTTGGTAACATTCAATACGCGTGACGTCACGTTTTTCAACAAGGATGAGGTCAATGACGTCAGGAAGTTTCCTATCCAGTTATTTTACAATCCATGCTTACAGTTAGATGTATTTATGTTTATATTTATATATTGTAGTTAGTTTCACGTGCACGACCACATCAGCTACTGTACGCTGTAAATTTACCATCGTGTGTAAATAAATGCTTTTATTATTATTATTATTATTATTATTATTATTATTATTATTGAGACAAACCTCAAAAACAACGTAAAACGGAAGAAGGATAAATATAGAGAATTATTGAGACAGCTAGGTAAACATTTTAACCAAGTTAAATTTATAAATCTCTCCATCAGCTCTTTAGGTATTTTTGCAGAAGAATGTTATACATTTTTAGACATGTTAGATAGTATTGGTCTTGACAAAAACCACCAAATGTACTGCGTTAGGAAAATGATGACTATTGCTATTAGAACTACATATTACATTTTTTGTTGCCGAAATAAGGAATGGAAAAATCCGGATTTACTAACAACTGAATTTGACTTATCTCATTGTATATATATATATATATATATTGCACGCACTTTGTTCTGTTATTTTAGTATAATTGTGATTCAAATAGCCAACCGTAAGTTACCTTTATGAGAGAGATTTACGATTGTATATGTATGTAAAGAAAAACATTTAATAAAGTTTCCATTATTATTATGATTATTAAATTATTATCATTATTATTAATTATTATTATTATCAATAATCCACCTCTGGAAGTCAACAACTAATCATACTAATATTCAATACGACCAATACAGTTCGACGAAGGAAGTGATTAAGTCATTTCGTGGTGATCAAGAAGATAAATTAACAAACCAACAAACATACCAAGGCTCATTCTTTACCAGTGTATCAAGATTTTCCTTAACCCAAGTAAATACGATCTGGACAGCCTGTCAGTCCAAATTGCCTAAAAACATTTTCAACTTTACCATTCGCTATATAAACAATTCGCTGCCAACCCGTAAGAACCTTCAAAGACGGGGGCTATCCTTGTTTTCTGAATGCTCGTTCTGCATTAATCCTAAATCTCTATCACACGTCGTCGCTGATTGCAGTTCCTACCTCGATCGATTTACTTGAAGACATGACTCAATTCTAAATTTCATTGCTAATAACCTTCCATCAGAACATATCCGGACCAGTTATGCTGATTTGTCGTCATTCTCTAATCCTTCTACAATCACTGGTGATGATTATCGGCCTGATTTACTAATTTTGACGAAAGATAATTGTCTGTATATTCTGGAATTAACCGTTGGATATGAGACTAACCTCAGAAATAATGTTAACAGGAAATACTCCAAGTATAAAGATATGATTATGGAACAAATTTAAAGATATGATTATGGAACAAAAGAAAAATTATCATGCGGTAAACTTCATCAACCTTTCGATTAGTGCACTTGGTGTGTTTGACAAGGAATCTTCTGGTTTTATAGACATGTTAGAACATTTTAATTTAGATAAAGCTCATGTAAGATACGTTATTAAAAAGATTATTAATATTGCAATAAGGTCAACCTACTACATCTTTTGTTGTCGAAATAAGAACTGGGGAATCTGGACTTGATGAAACTTTAAAATTTTTATTGTATAAGTATGTATATAGAGTAATAGAGTAAATTTAATCGTGCGTTATGAAATCATTTAATAGTAATATATCAAGTTGCCAATTGTAAATTACCTTATATAGTGAGATTTGCAGTTGTAAGTTTAGAAAATTGAATAAAGTTTCCATTATTATTATATATGTTAGGTATATGTTATTATACGTATAATATAAGCTTCAATTTAAGGTAAAATTCAACCACAACTACTCTTCACAAGCGTTTTAAAGTGTTCTTTTAATATAAAACTACTAAACTGCCTTAATCGAAAAACTTTGAATTTGAAATAAAATGATTTCAAATTCTCGCATGCAAATAACTTTGCTTTATTTTTTATTTAAACAATTTAATATAGTAAAAAAGGTTAATCAATAAAGATAGACAGAAAGTATATGATGTCTTGCTTCAAAATGACATTAATATTCGCACTGCTTTTAAAGCAATTATAAAGCAAACAATTATTAAATATTTAAAACAAACTTACCTTCGTTAACGTTGGCGCCTTCACTCACTTCTTCAGTAGCAATTCTTTCGCCTTTTAATATTTTATTAATATTTACAAAATCTTGCAAAAATGAAATATATTTCAAATCAAATAAAAAAAATGTTTGGTATTTCGCTGTCGTCATGCAGTCGTTATAATGCAAATTTTAACTTCGACCAATCAGTGTTCGCTATATTCATGACAGTCCGATATATTTTGAGATCAGTGAGGATGACCACCGTCATTGGTCACCCACGCCCGCGATCATTGATAAACTTTAGACTTCGCTAATGCTTTCGTTTCCCCGGGTGTAAATAGCCGGGGGGAATTAGTACCGTTGGCTCGGGAAAAATATAAAATTCCGGGCTTATCCTGAAGTAATTTAGTTTATAAGTTGCAATAGAACATATATAGGCAAAACGGAAAGGAATTTGGCAACATGGGTCTAGCTTTCAGAACACTCTCACAACCTCAATGACTGTGTGCATGCATCAAACTGACAATTCCATTTTCCCGCCTTCATCACAAACATTAAAATTCTTCATTCTCTCCAAAATACTAATACCAATCTTTTGTACTGTTTCTCGAAACTCTGTAAATAAAGTTTAGTAATAGTGGTCTGAAGGCATCGAAAGGACTAATTGTTTTCCCAGTTGATTACCTCATCTTCCTATTTCTCCTTTTAAATATCTGAGCACGCTTCTAAATAATTATAGTTTAGTTTGACCAAGACCCTGAAATAGAGTCCAAATATCACCACCATATTTCTTGTCTTGTTTTCTTTAAATAATTCGACGCATCTTGCGTTTACAAGATAACATTATTATTCGGATTTTTCCTTCTTCTTATATTTCTTAAAATTGTCTGCTGGTAAAGGATTTTTCTGGTTAAATTAACCAGATTATGTCCAGGTCCCCTGTGATGAAAATCAGTGTTTTGGGAAAGTGTTCCATGGATCAGATTAAACTATTTGCAATAAAGATTCTAATAATCAATAGCATAAATGACGAGGGGCCGTAGATTAAAATGAACATAAATCTACCCATTCCAAACTTTTTTTAATGGCAACGGTTTTAACTGCGAAATTATTTGATGACGTGCGAAGAATAACTTGTATTTTTATTAATGAGATTCACGGTAAATGTTTGAAGATGCTTTAACAGTTAACTGCCCTGTTGGATACCGACTTAAAATTTTAAAACATTCAGACAGGACAGTCATATATAGCAAATGAATCCACTAATTTTTAATTTACCCATGTACCTCCGTTATTAAAATGCAGGTTTTCGTGCATGTAGCTATATTTGTGTCAGAGAGCAAGCAGGGGAATTAGCATTCTCGGGAACATATAGGGGTTATATATTTATCTGCAAAATTCAACAGCTGAAGCGACTTGCCATTTGTTTGAAAAGGTTAAAAACGTTTTCACTGGTTTCATCAGTCTCTGCAGTACTTAATGGTAAATATGTTAAGTATACCTATAGGCTGGGCGCTAGAGTGTGGATTCAGTTACTTGCTTCTAAAGGTATCAAAAGACAAAACTTACCACCATGCATCTTCGGCCCCGGGACGCAGTTACATACTTCTACCCGTCAACAGCTAAAGCATTAGACTAACGGCTTACGCCAAACGAATCGCTCACTAAAGCATGGTCATGAAAGAAAATCCAGTCTTGTACATAAAATACACTTTGTCTATTTCACCGTGCTAAATTATTGTATATAGCCATTGCTGTTTAACTGGTTAAATTTAAGATCATGCATGATCAAAAACTACTCCATGTTCCGACTTGAAATGTCTGCTGAGGTCTATATGCAAAATGTATTAATATGAATTTTTTTCTGTGTTGGTGTAGTGTACTCAGGTGAATATGATATTTGTGGTGTTACTCTGAGTGTATATCCACAACCGGCCGAGCTTGAAAAATATGCCCGGCCACGGTGGGATTCGAACCTACGACCTTTGGAATACTAGCCCAATGCTCTTTCCAACTGAGCTACGCGGTCAGGACGGTTCGAGTAAGTGATATTTCGGAACAGAATCTAGTTCCTTCGATACCAATGTATTCTAGTAATATGAATTTTTTTCTGTGTTGGTGTAGTGTACTCAGGTGAGTATGATATTTGTGGTGTTACTCTGAGTGTATATCCACACCGGGCGAGCTTGAAAAATATGCCCGGCCACGGTGGGATTCGAACCTACGACCTTTTGGTCGTAGGTTCGAATCCCACCGTGGCCGGGCATATTTTTCAAGCTCGCCCGGTGTGGATATACACTCAGAGTAACACCACAAATATAAAATAAACTATGTTTTCGAGGGGGCCAAATTTCCGAAATGGGGGCATATTTCCTAGGAAATTTGTCCGGGGGAGGCAAAGTTGGGGGGGGGGGGAATTTCCTGGGACACCGGG